TAGTTATATAATAAGTACCATGTTTCAGTAGGTGAATATGATATTTTTGCTAAACCAACAAAACAATTTGTACTTTATTAAGAACAAAAATAATAAACGTTACAGAATCTAAGTGTCGAACCATCTGCTGCAATAATAGCGCTTTGTTCCTACTAATTGAGAGCGAAGGTAATAAATATAAAGAAAATGTAATTTTTATGCTTTTAAATAAATAGGAAAGGACATCGTTGGAAACCATTAAATAAATTGGATAGCGGAAATTAAACTGAACGAGGTATTCATCTAATTGTCGACCATTTATAACTGTGTTGTTTGAAAGCATTTAAATTAGGTCTTTAGATCTTATTTTTACTATCAGTCTGCATTTTAATCTTGGAACAGTCTGAAAATACGTTTCGTTTATTTGAGATTTTTGTCCAATAGATTTAGATGAAAATACAGTATTATGACTGGGATGTACCTATTACACTTTCATTATAATTTAATAGAAAAGAATATGGTATAAAATTACTTGTAATTTGATAAAACCACCCAACAAATAACCAATTACATTACCTAAGACAAAAATCAGTACAGCAGCATTATGTTATTGTCTTAATTCATATCCGCATTAAATTACTACATAGTATAAAACAAAGTCGCTATCCGCCGTCTGTCTGTCCCTATGTATGCTTAGATCTTTAAAACTATGCAACGGATTTTGATGTGGTTCTTTTTAATAGATATAGTGACTCTTAAAGAAGGTTTACATGTATAATATGTGCATGCACACTACACGCGCGCGAAGCCGAGGCGGGTCGCAAGTTTAATACAAAATATCAATTAACATGCGAAGTTTATCTCTAACTGTACTACATATTTTATTGCGTACAGAAATAGCTTCAGAATTATTTCGGTTCGGTTCTCTAATGAAATTTGCATTCAAGATAAATGCAAATGTGCGGTAACAAAATAGAATCAATTTAAATTAAACTAGAATGGTTTATAAACGGTGAGGTTTATCTGTAACTAGCGACCCGCCCCGGCTTCGCACGGGTGCAATATGCATGTATTATACATACAAACCTTCCTTAAGAATCACTCTATCTATTAAAAAAAACCGCATCAAAATCCGTTGCGTAGTTTTAAAGATCTAAGCATACATACGGACATACAGCGAAAGCGACTTTGTTTTATACTATGTATTGAAGAATTAAAGAGGTATACAGTACACCTCTTTAATTCTTTTCTTTAATTTTTACATCTATAAAAATACTTAATGTTCTTGATTTTTTTCCACATATATCACATATACGTACAAGAGCCATTTAAATACACAAAGTGCTCAATACTCGTTACTTTAAAGAAAGAGAAAGCATTTATTCGATAGTTAACTTGTCACATTAATTGATACGTAGGTGATTAAATTCGTAGATTAATTATAAAAATAATACGGTACATGGCAATAGGTTCATTATTACATGGGACTCATAACATAAATAGTGAAAAGTGAGTATTACATTGTATAGTGGCATAATGTACATCTCTGACTATCCCTTCGGGGATAAAAAGCGTGATATTATGTATGTTATTAATTACAAAAAAATATGTAAAGACAAAAGAGATACACAGGTTAAAAAAAAAGAAATTGCTAACAGATTCATTAATATATGTAATAAGATTTCTACCAGAGTAAAATAATACGAACAGCCACAAAGAAAAAAAAAATATGTTTCGAAAATAGAAACAAAAAGTATCTACACACCCCACCACTCTTTTAGTGAGAATACTATTCGCTATTTCACCCTCGTCTCGCTTAGACAAGAGCAGTGATATTAAACTCTGTACATAATACAAGGGAACGCAATAAACCACTCACAAGCTACTGAATCGCAATCCTAGAACGTTGCAATTCATGATCACGATATTTCGAAATCGCAACTACGATTTACGGAAAAGCTGTAACCGATAAAGTATTTCGAATTGAAAATGTATGGAATTTTTGTTAACGAAAAATGAATATCGGAAAATGATATTGGAATTAAAATGTACATTTTTTGGACTTGGTAACACATGTTATTAATAAAAATAAATCGTATACGTTGCATTAAACTGACGAGTGACCAAAGAAAAAATCTTCTGTTCCTAATTTTCCTTACGTTACTAAACAACTACAGTAACTCCATCTATATTTTTACAGAGTAACATTTTTAGGAGAAACTCACTTAACGTTCTCTTGCTAATGCGGGAAAAATCCAATAGATGGCGTTGTACAAAAATGGTTTTGCTTGATTTTTAGAACTCTAACTGTTTAATAACTGTTAATAATATAGGTATATATACAATAATTTAGTGACATCAGGTAATGAAAATGAATATTTCAAGATTTCTAGGGTATAAAATGATGGAATATTTCAAAGTTACGACTGTTGTAGCTAACTAAAGACCGCAATTATTTCTTAGAAGTCACATTAATATATTGTGTGCCATAAATTATGCTCTCTATGAGAAGCTAGCTATACATTGCCTTTTCTCTTTATTACATAGAGTGTCGATATCACATAGTTTCAGTGGCTGTATGCGACCATAAATTATTAGTCTGTGGTCCATATAAATCTCAATGCATAAAATGTGGTATAAATTACGGTTCTCTTTTTGAATTTAATATTTTGAGAATAGATAAATTAGAACAGATGGGATAGCCGTGAGTTATTCTAACAAATATTTATGCATTTAGGTGTCATTAGTTATAATGTAATTAATTATTGCATTTATATGATTTAAACTGTAATGAAGGAATTATTTATTGCTTATGATTTGTTATTATTTGTATTTGAACACATAAATCGTAAGTGCTGAATAATTTGATGAGGACCAAACAGCATCGCTGTTTAATAAACCTTTTTATTTGTAACTAGCCTGCGTCTCCCTTTTATTTAAGTAAAAGAAGATTAGTCCAGCAGTGGAATATAAAATCTGGACGAGGACTGTCTGTTGATGTTGATAAGTAGTATATTTTTGCTTATCTCACACGACTGATTGTAGAGGAAATCATACTGTAACTCTGTTAGTAAACAATACAGGTCTCTTTCCTTGTTTTGATCATCACATCATTCATGCTACCCAATCAATTTCTTACTTTTATCAATCTCTTGAAAATGTCGAAACGAAACGCGAAACGAAAAGTATTTTTTCGGAATGAATTGTAAAATCTGTGACACTTAATTAATTAGTATTGTGTGACATACAATTTTGTAGAATAATCTATTACAAATACAAATTAATCGTAAAATGTGTTTCTAGTTTTAAAAGACGGAAATCTTATTTTGTTGTGTTTGCTATTAAAAAAAGTTTTAACTAACAATATATAAATAAAAAAGAAAAATCAAGAATGAAACGGGAAGAGGATTAGCTTAACATATAAATATGAAATATTGTAAAAAAATGTGCAGTGACAGTAGATATGGTATTCAACAAGTCACCCAGTTCGTCAGTCAGTCAGTTAAGAAATCAATTATTTCACACTGGACTCCAAATTATTCAAAGAAGTCCTTAGTTAATATAAATAATATAATTACAACGCAACCAACTAATTTAAATTTATGTCTAATTGTAATACTGTATCAGCCCACCAGCACGATAAGGGAGCCGACCTGCTCCAGCAGAAGGCACCCGTTCAAAGAAAGATATTTTTCTTCCGCATAGCAATGCGAAGCATTTATAAATAAATGAATTGTTTAATTGTATCGTATCAAAGATATGAATGGATGAAATCTTATGAATGGTTGGCATTAGACAAAGTATAATTGTTTATTTTGTTTGTCTATTGTGAAAGCGTTTAAAAGTATAAACAAAACTCATCCGCGTTCCGTACATGTAAAATTCGCCCGAAAGGGCAGGCAGAGGTGCACATTACGGCACTTAATACCACTATATCATGTAAAATTATCACCTTTTAAAACGAACCTCTTGATTTTTAGGAACAAGAACGTTAAAAACAAGCGGATATAATGTCCCTTAGAACTGATTGAAGCTTCAAAATGCCAGTAGGCTATTTATGTGTGCATTTGTAATGGGTTACCACGTTACTTGACTTAAAATGACAGATGTCCTTCGTATCTATGTGTGTTTATATTCTGCTTGTAACTTTATAGTAGCCAGATACTACAGTCGGTGTTTTAAGAGACTACGTCCGCCTTTTTTCCTTTTTTTCAACATCCTTGTTTCGGGACATGTCACGAGAGATTTTAGCCTCCTTGTGACCTCCTTCAATAGTACTATGATAGTACCACATCACCGAATTAATCATTTTTAAAGCGCAGGTAGCATTCCAACATTTAGAAGATGAAATGGAGATGGAGAAAGATGGCGCCTTCAAAAATTTTTTTTAATTCATTGACATACAATCCTGAATTTATAAATACAGACATATAAGCAACCGGTAGTTACATTGTTGTATAAAAGAACACTACACCTAAAACAGGATAGAACTATTATTGTCAATATTATGAAACGATCAATTTTAAACACAAAATGACATACTTAGGTTACAACGACTCACTACATTTTGTAGTTTTGTTTTAGACACGAAATCACGTATTTTTTGTTCTAATTTGCAACGTCTTATTCCATAAATTTTTGTTATAGATTAATTTAATTCGCATTAGAATAAATAATTTTTACATTACATCATAAATATTATTCGTAAATTAATATTTTCAAACGATTAATCGTACGGTACCCTAAAGTACCGATAACAATAAAACAATTTGTCTTTGTATCATAAACTAAAGTGAACGAAGGAGTCATCGGTGCTATACAGTTTTGAACAAAATCATAACAAGGCTGGAAGTAATCGACGCCATTGAGCAAAACATGGATCGCAGCTAAACAATCAGTTGAGCGAAGAGTACCAACCAGTCAACATTGCCCCACGCTTCAAATAATAAATAATTAAAATAAAAAAAAATCATTTAATCGTATATTAATAATCATTGATATAATATTAATCGTACAGTAAATATTAAATTAATAATAGTTGGACGAAATTTATCTTTTTAAATTTTTATTTAAGAAAATAATAATGTTGTGTGAAAATAGTTGATTACGGGATGTGATATTGAAGAAAGGAAATGTATCGCAGGATAATTTTCGTATTTGCGATCTCAATCGTCATTACTTTACAGGTGAGTTATTTAATATTAATTAATTATGTAGATCAGACTATTTATGAAAGGATAAATGTTATTTATTTTGTCTCTCGAAATGAGAATTTTGAATGCAGTATTTTCTTCTGTTGAATATTACTAGCAATGGATATTACAGCACAAGAATTATATCACAATTATATTAACAGTACATGTACCTTAAATTTTTCGGATGAAAGATGAAAACATAAGCTATATTAATTCGAAATAGCATCCCCTTTATGGTTCAGCTAAAAAAGATGATTTCATAACAATCTCCCAAAAAGATTTCCCATCCCCAATATTTATAAAAAAAAATACACAAACTGCATATATGATGCCTAAATAAAGAAAAAGGTAAATTATTCACTTCCTGCAACGTAAACAGTAAACATTTTTAAACAAATATTCAACTTTTTCACATAATTTCTGAAGGAAAACATAAATAAAAATATTGCCATATTAAAATAAACTTTACGAGTCTCGCTTCATTAACTCCGCTTGTTACTCACGACTTTGAGGATTAAAAGCCTCAGCGTTAATGACGAGCGGAAACGATTTAAAAAAAGTTTATATAAAAAAGTTGCATACGTCAATGAGAACGCAAACATACATTTTAAATTTAAATAGAGAACACAGTTATGACTGCATAATTGTGATGGATTCTGATTGTTATCATAATCATCGTGTAGTTTTAAGGTTGTTTCATCACCCTCATTTACATGGGTATCCGATTTTGTGTAGCTTCGTACGATACGATACGATAGTTCACACAAATTAAGTTCTATAAGTGGTTATCCAGACCTTGTGAAACAGACCTTATGTCTGTTACCGCTAGATTCTCAAGGTAGCCTAAGAACTTTTAGCTTCGGGCATCAAAGAAGTTAAGATTCGTTTGATCCATACAGGTCACTGAACAAATCTCTTGGATAAAATAGCCATCATCTTAGGTGTTCGTTAGATCCATTTTCGCCTTTATACTTTTAGTAATAGTCTCTCATATTGAGGAATCTACTTTTAACAAAATATTCACCTAATTATCAAAACGGAAAGAAAAATATGTATGTACTACCAAAATACTCCCCACAGCAGAATTAAGTACCTACTTAAAAAGCTTCCAAACCTGGTTAAGATACAAGTGGTCACCAGTGACCGCTCTCCACTTACACTATTATAGACCTAATTTCCGATGTTTAGATACTACTTTTATATGAACAAACGATGTGAATTTTTCATAATCAGACATTAATACCCTCCCGTATCCATAAGTAAATTGTTAATGTTAATTAGCTTTTTCTAAGACAATGACGTCATAATGCAACCCGTGTATGCAACACGAGTTTTCGAGTAAATTAACACTTTCTACCTATTCCACTAACCGTAAAACTATGAAACAGAAAAGAGATTAGCAGAACAATAGCCAATTAACGCTATCATTTTGTAAATAGGCAACGAAAATCGTAAACGTTTCGTCTTACTAAGTGACCAAGTGAACTATAAAGACTGTTATCGGATTTTCAATAGAGATGCTGTTAATTTCCAATTTGTTAATCAAAGGATTCATTGATAACTCTAGTATATACATTCTTTCTTGTCGACGTTTCAAAGTCAAAGAATTTATTTCAGTTAAACCATAATTTTGGTACTTTAGAAACGTCAACAAATACCAAAATAAATAATAGGCTGTCAGTTTGCATGTCATTGAAGCTAGGTGCTCAACCCAAAATGTAGATTCGAATAGAGTAGAACGAGCAAGAAACTCTACTCGTTACGCTTTTATTTTTATTTATATTGGTAGGCCTAAAACAATGGTTTATGTAAAAGAAATGCAACTTTCGTGACATTTCCTTATGAGTTTAATTAGCAATTTGTCTGATATATCAAAATTGAATATGATTATAAAAGTAAAAAAATGTCAAATAGTAGGTGTCAAATAGTATGCTAACAATTCAACCTTAGTAAAATCACTTGTTAAACTAATCCTACTCATGGGCAATTTGGAAATGATTGAAAGACATCTAATAATAATATAATCCTTGTTATTCGTATAGACATGAATCACACTAATATTATAAAAGTGAAAGTTTCTTTATTTGGATGTTTGTCCGTCACTCACGCTGTAACCACTGAACGGATTTTGATGGCATTTCGTATACAGACAGGGTATACGAAAGGCCATCAAAAGGCTGACTTAGGTGATAGGATATTTTTATCCCAAATGAATGCTTCCATGGGATAAAAAAAGAATCATATTCTCAGGCAACAGCTGGTTATTTATAATCGCGTACCTATAGATAACCAAAGCAAAATATAAAATATTCCATTGAAGATCTGTTTACTTGCAAAGGAAATCATAATAAAATAGCTTCTCGTTTAAAACAAAACAATATAAAAGGAATTGTATGGAATAAACACGGAAATCGCCATATAACCAAATTGTTTAATATACAAAGCGATTGTTCCTTTCTCTTTGTGTAATAATTTCTCATCTTGTCATTATAATATTTAAACATACAATACAAATATTATTAATATTACCACCTTAAATATAATGAGATGTTTTTGATAAAGCATTTCCTATTTACGAAAATTTTTCCTTCACAATGATTCATGATCAGATTTTAATTTAGGATATCATAATTTTTAATACTGTACTATATTTTAATTTATCAATTAATAAGAACCATATAAAAACAGTTGTTTCGCCAATCAACAATCAAAACGTCTAACCAAACAGAAATATCTAAATAAACCCCTTTATTTTACAGACGACAGATTTTCAAGATAACCTAATAAATGGCTACCGAGCACTGATTGCGGACATTCAGGTCCGAACACAGAAATCCCGAGAGGATATGGACACGCTCGTGTCCCAAATAAAACTGCTAATGAAGAATGAAGCAGACAAAGCCATTAACTACATGACTGTGTACCTCGAACAAATATCTTTGTACTTCCAGGTTTGTGTTTTAGTCTAATTTTTATAACATTCATTCGCTAGAATTATTTATTTTGGATTACATTTCCTTTATGAGAAATAAATGTACCAATTGTAGCAATGCTACCTCGAAAAATACTTATATCTAACATTATTAACTTCAAACATAATGTTCAGAAAAGGATGATCTCAAAAAGTTTCATAAAATGAGAATACAAAAATATTATTCATTTAACTTGTCGTTTCTTTTATTAGTTTAAATGAAAACCTAAATCAAAAATGCAATTAAACCATTACATCCAAAAGTCCAACAATAAAATTTACACTTTTGAATGCTTTTCAATAATTGGTGCTAGCGTTCATCCGATTACAGCTGACCATTTTATGCTTCCCTAGGTGATAATACACGACCGTAAGCCTCGGAACGGAACGTATTGCAAAGAGAGCATAGTTAAGCTGCTCGGAGAAAATTTGCAGTTGGCGGACGAAAATGTCACATTATGCTTGGCGCTCGGTTACCAAAGAGTACAGAGATTACCAGGTATGTTGACCTTTAATACATAAAATAGACTAATTACATTAATTTTAATATCGGTTTTTCCGTTAACTACCAGGAAACATTTTAGAATCCGAATTTAGAAAAGGACCAAAGATAGCTTCTTGGGGTACGCCAGGGATAGTATCGGATTTAATTCTCTAGAGGAATTACAAAGCATTGAAATGGTCGGTTATCTAACGAAGTTTTTGTACTGAACAGTTTGTGCCTGTCAAATTATATTTAGTTTAGCCAACAACTATAAGACATTAACTTTAATAGTGTACACTATTTCAAATGCTTTTGAAAGGTGTCAACATTTTTACTATACTTCCTTTGAGGAAGTTTTTGTTAATAATAGTATAGCTATAGACTACAATGGAGTTTTCCACTTCCGCTACAATATAGGTGATATCCAGCCTTCCGTACGATCCAATGTTATTGTGTACATAGTCTGTGTTGTAGTTTGGGCTTAATGAATGCGCGGTCGAGCTCAGTTAAATCAGGCTTCCTGTTTGTCGTAGAATCGATTATGCTGGCACTGATCAATACCCTTTCTCTTTGATGTAGTTAAGGCAGTAAATTGCTTGATAGTGACTCACATTGGACCACTGTGGGTACTAAAATGTTTACAAGATGAAACGAAATTTAAGGAGGCTATGTTCAGCCATGGTCATGTCAAGTTTAGTCATTAATCTCCACCATTACAAGTCAAAAAGTATTAGTAAAATATTTAGACCTGCTGCAAATACCAAAATCTAAATACTCTATTGAAAAACGAATTACTAACAAAGTACTAATGAATAGTACTTAGTGCACAAAACATTAAATCCTCTCCAAACATCCGCTATTTATTGAAAAGGGTAGTAGGAAAGTTAAATAAGTAAATAAGTTGCCGGTAAAGCGGTGGTGTTTACTTTAAATCTAAACTGTTTACGGTTTGGCTGCCGGCTTTGTCAACCTACATACGTCCGTATTATTTTGGGACAACGTTCCTTGTTTATCAACGTCAATATATCCGCTACTGACAATACAGGTAGTCGCCAAAACAAACTAGCACTCAGTTATAATAACAGACGATGTGTGTCATAGTAAAATCTATGCGGTTTGACTAGGAATGTGCAGTGCTAAAACAATCTTTCGCAAATCGATTGAATGAATTTGCAGATAGAACAACTTATAATCATGATACAACACGCAATTTGATAATATGGAAGATACTTTGTCAAAGTTTTCATGAGGTAATGTAGCGTTGAGACTAGTATATCCAATATTGTGATCAAACAATGCTTTCTTTGCAGAAAAACTACAAGTTCACTTCGAAACATTGGAGAATTTGAAGAAGTATTCCGCCTCGAAGTTATTTGAATGCCAAAAACAACAGCAAGTTGGTGGAAACTGCTCCCATGAGAGTCAAGATCTTGAGAGAACTGTTGTAAGTATACCATTTTGAATACACCAAATTAAGATGGTTCATACCTTAAAACGAGGAAATGATCACGATTTTTTGTGAACGTCAAATCTACGCGGCTTATGCAACAGCAATGTTTATAGCTTAAATTACTCGCAATTCCCCACCGTTGAGTTTTCAAACACCACTCAAATAAACAAAAACTACACAGCTAGTTTAAAATTATGAACCTCAAGAGACTAGTTGAGTAGAAACTGGATACGTGATCCAACGAATTGAGTTTGAACTACTTCTGATTCTTGCCAAGACGCTTGCTAGCTTCGGAATATTGAGTGAGCAAATTGATGCTTTAGAATCCTAATTTGCAAAAGTTGAAAATTGAATTATTACATTGGATGTTTCGTAGTATATTAAGTGTATATTTGTAGAAAAAATATACTTCTGTATTGTCAATGGGTACATTAGTGTAATTTAATTATACTTGTTTGTTATCATAATAACGTTTGATGGTATGGCTTTTATTTACGTAATTAGTAAATTGTGCTACAAATATTGCTAAAATATTTTAGTATCAAGTGGTGGCTACCATGTGTCTTGTATTTTCTTATAAATCATCTCCAATTATATTCATACTACAAGTTGTGTATTTCGACTTACAGTTCCTTTACGAAACATCACCATTCCCGGTAGTGATGGCAGAAATAGCAATCCACGGTTTCAAAGAAGTGTCGGACCTTAGTGTGTGTCTCAAAGATATCATTTCCCGAATGATGACACACTCCGTCAAGGTTATCGGTGACTTCAATAGATGCATCCACAACATTGAAATGCCAAAATTAAAGTATTTACTCAAGTTTATGAAGAAGTATGCTTAATAAGTTGTTTTGTATACTTGGTTCCAATAGGGTTGCCCGTTTTTATGTTGTTTAATGATTTGCGGCCAAAATTAATCGATCTCAAGCTAAAATTATGCAAAATCATTGATTCGACATTAGTTTTATTGAATTACTGTCAAAAATCTACATAAATTGGTCCATTTTTGTTTTGAATAAAGTTCGGTTATTAATTTTGGCTGTTATTGTTATCGAAGATTTTTTATTATAATGCATACTTTTAGTTATAGAGTTGCCAAGGGTTACTTTTTAAGTTACAAAATGTTTATAAATATTGAACGTTGTAGTTACTTTACCATTAAGGCTGTAACAGACCTAGCTAGAATATATATTAATATATAGAGCTATATATTATAGTATAGGTAGCTACCATAGACAGGAGCTAGCTGCATACATTTTGGTGACGTCACAGAAATATACTATAACTGTGTGTGTGGTGACTAAAAAATTGTATTGAAAATATACGATAATATGCCTTGGTATACCTTGCTATAATGTATATTACAGCTAAGTCTGTGACGGCCTCATTAGTGAATATTCTACTATGTTTTATAGGGTTTTTAATAGAAACGTACATTAATGGAGATTAAATCAAGTTATTCTTGGTATTAAATTGAAGTGAATAAAATGGCAACCCTTAGTATGATTGGTGATTTGTATGGGTTAATCAAAATGTAAATAACGTGTGTTCTATTAACATTCAAATATTAAATTGTAGTGAATTTATTTTTAATTATCTTATATTGATGAGATATACGATTTGAATAAATAAAGGTTACATTTCTTTTGAGTTTTATTTACCTATGCATTATATCTACTTCCCTTATGCCCGAATACTGAAACGTTACTCAATTTTAAGTCACGCTTAAGTATAGTTCTGTCACCACTAATTCTTTGTGAAATGACAGAGATGGCACGATATTTAAGCACGACTTAAAATTGAGTAACGTTTCAGTATTCCGGAATTAGATTACTAAATATCGTCAATTAATCTTCAATTTAGTAATAATTTCATTTATATTAGAATTCAGAAATAAGTATTTATTTTTAAAGATTTTAGTTAAAAGTCCAACCTCATTTGATTTGCCAAACAAAAGTGGTAGGCAACAGTATTCAAGAGTCAAAATTCTTCGCATTTATGTCAATGAAACCTTTATAATTTGGTAGGTACTTTTGAAACGTGAACAAATACAAAATGTAGATTCAAATGGAGAAGAACGAGCGAGAAACTCCACTCGTTACTCTTTTTAAAATATCTATCAGTTTTTACAATTTCTGATATATTATATACATATTTTGTTTCATACTAATTTAAATCTAAGCATTTATAAAGGACCAATCTTAAGAACCTAAGTATTAAAATAAAATTGTAGAGTAGGTGAAAATTCATGAAATCTCCACCACTTGGTGACGTCACTACTTCCTTATGCATTGCCTTCTATTCTATTCAATGATTCGATTCATTGAATTTCAACGCATATATATACTCGGAAAGTATTTCTTGAGCCAAGTGAAATGGGTCACTGACATAGGAGTTTTATTATTTATAAAGTTGATGCAGTTTGTTGACCAAACGTATGTATAATAAATATATCATATTATAATGATTGATTTATGTTGAAAATATAATAATTACCTGGTTTCAATGGCTTCAGGGAAATTAAAGTTTTATTATATAAGGTCAAACAATATTTTCATGGGCATCGCTTAGCACTAATATTTTATAATAGAAAATAAAAGTGGGTATTCGATAATTGAAACTCGAATTATACAAAGTGGCGCTTAGAGACAAAGATATTATGAATAACGCCATCTATTTTATGCGGCTTGAACTAGTAAAACCGCTGTGAACCTACTTCAGACTTTTTCGACTTAGTGCTAACGCTATCTCCGTTCACTTGAAACGATTTGCGTTAGTTAATAGGTATAGTAAACGTTACAACAATGGCTTCCTTGTTTCGGAGTCATGTAAATAACATGGTTAACTTCCAATTCGATGATATTCAGCAAACCATTCATTATTTGCAAATAATTGGGTTCATTTTAACTTAAAGTTAACTTTGAAAGATTTATTGACTTTGTTTACCAAATAGCTCATCAAAACAGATAAATAAAATTGGAGTGTTTGTAATATCAAAATTTCTGCTTTTAACTTCATGCATATGAATATAGGTACACAATATATACCAAAATGTAAAATTATAAAATAATATTTTTTTAAATTTTTGTCTGTCTATCTGTTTGTTCTGGGTAATCTCTGAAATGGCTAGACCGATTTCGACAGGACTTTTATTAGCAGGTTATTGATGTACTAAGGAGTAACATTGGCTACATTTATTTTGGAATATTGGAACAAAAAAAAATTGTCCTAAAATTCATTTTCTACGCGGACAAAGTCGAGGGTTCAAATTAAAACTAAAAGGATCAAGAGTCTCATATAGGTATATATTCGACATGACTTTGAAGTACTCTAAACATACCGTTATCTGTAAATCTAGTCTAAGAAACTATTTTAGGATTCAGATCTTAAATTCTAGATGAAGTCTGAGACTCCAAAAACTTATAGATAGTTCAAAATCCAATTTGGAATAGTGAAATATTCAAATTCTTTTTTGTAATAGAATTAAATATTAAGTTTATATTTTAATTACGTTTTAGGAGTCTGTGTTCTTTTATTAATGCTTTTTTTTCGTTTGTATCTCTCAATATTAATTTATAAACGATCTTTATCGTATTAACATAAGAACGTTCGAAAGTACTGAACGACTGAAGAACGTCCCTGTTTCATCCCTGTGTTATTAGGCACATATTCAACGAGAAAAACATATCCTCAAACGCTCCAATTAGATTTACATGAATAAAAAACACCTTTTAGCCACTTTCACGAACGCATAAATATAAATTTCTCCCTTCGCAAAGCAGCTAAAGAAAATGAATCAGTAGGCATTTTTTATTTGAAAAATTGTATGCCTAAGAACAATGTAATTGAATTAATTTTGACAATATATGATAACAAAAAGATACAATAATTTGTTATTCGAAATATTTCTTTAATTCACACATTCAATTTAATCATTCATTTCAGTGTACAAAAAAAAAAACGGTTTTTGTGTCAAGAAAACTTTATAGAATTAAAAAGTAAATTTTATTATGCAATGTAGATGAATAATTAAATTAATATTATTTATAATCTATATTAATTTGATCGTTGTTTAACTTCGCAACAAAGTTACTATTCAATGAAACGCTAGCAATTACATCTGTCTAGATCTCTTATTGATATGTGAAAATAATCATTATTATTATTGGTATAAGTTTTAATTATGTTTGGTGTTTTTGAAATGCAGTTTATAGGCTTCGGACTGACTCAACAAAGTTTATACGCTTGGGAATCAAACGGACGTCATTTAGATAACATTGTATGATTGCTTGCGTAGGAAACTGTTCCAAGAAACGGAATAATACTGTAACACAGTATACTAGACAGTATACATAAGTATTGAAGTTAGTATTTTGGATGACTTTTTCAATATCAATAAAAATTCGCGAAATAATTACATGTTGGTCTTTAAACTATTTAATAAATAATGGTAATACATAAATTGATATAAAATCAATAGATTTGTAAACAATAACTATTGCAACGAAAACATCTAATTGTTTTAAAAAACTGTCTGTATAACATCTCATTAATTTATAGAAAGGTAGACGATTTTTTTTTGTCTATGGCGCGCGACCTTATTCGCCCCTTTTGACTCTGTCTTTGTAAAACTGAGGTTGTTTTTCTAAATAAAACTTCCACTAGTTAAAATACACTTTAAATATCTATGTATTTGAATATTAAAATAGAATACCTACATTATGTGTTCTATTGTATTGCATTCGTTACGCTCAAGATGTATTGTATACTTTAATTGCTTCTATAAATTGCTATCAACAGCCACTAAACACATGGTACCCGACATTTTACACTAAATGTTATCTTCAGGCGGTCAATGAACTTTCGTAACCTACTTCATCGCGTCTAAACATCAGTTTAACAATATTTATACCCAGACATATTAAAATTTTCGAGAAAATACTTCGTCATTATCAAAGCTAAGCATTGTTGAGATAATGTCAAATGCTATCAAAATGATCAATTGATAATGGCAAAATAACGCAATTATCCTCAACTAGGGCTATTTGACAAGCTTTCACGACCGATAAAAATATGCACTTGACTGATAATAATACTTGTAAAGCTTGGAAAACTTATTGTGTATAAAAACTTCCTCGTCATACAGAATTGTATCGCTAACTTATTACAAATGAGGTTTATTAGTCGAGTCCATAAATCCATAATAATAAAACGTAAGTGGTGCCACTCACCAGTGTAATAAGAACGTCGGCGGAACAAGGTTGGTACTTCAGCAGTCGGCTAAATCTTAAAGTGCGCTGAGCCATCGTCAACGGACCCACGGGTCTGGACACATGGACATGCGGTGACGAAGGTGGACGCGATGGCGGGGCTGACACAGGGGGCATATTGCGACGAACAGTCTCCAACGGCACAGTCCTAGCCACCAAAGTATCACTCCCGACAGAATTCACACTACCACTGAACATGTTCATCAAATCCCCAATGGAACCACCCCCGCTAGATCCTCCGCCACAACGCAACTTATCCAAATCCGTCAAACTCGACCCGCGACGAACGCGGAGGCGCGAACCGCTGACATTTGACCGGTTCTGATACCCGAGCGCCTGTTCCCGGCGGACATCAGCCTCGCTGATCGCCTGCCCTTTCCTGCTCCGGAACATTTTCCGAACGTGTGATGTCACATCAACTTCAACAACAACACTGAACGTTAACACCTGCACGAAGAATTTGCATACAAACGAGTGATAGGTGATATCAATAGGGCCACGGTCGCCCGCAGGATGTCGCTATCGCGTCCTCGTGAGTTTCCGCCGCCATCGCTTGCGCAATGTTATTGTACCCCGAACCAAACTTTCGAATTTCTTCTGTTTTCTATGAAGGGGTGCGTACGCAACAAAGTCTGTTAACGGACTGAGCGGGAACGCGTAGTTTCGTATATGCGTATGTATGGAGTAAGTGAGCTGGACTAATGAGGTGATCGGGTTCAAAGGCGTCCGAGGTTTCTGCAGGCGACGGCCGCCGCTGCGCCATTATATGAGTTCCAAAGAACATGGTAAACTCAGAAAGAAAAGAGAACTAAAAGAATTACCTACTTAATTTGTATACGTATAAAAATATGGAATACGTCCACTTGGAAGCCTTTCCCGCAATCAGCCGCGAGCGATACAAAACAAAGCAAAATTTTAATATATTTTTAAAGGGCTTCGTAATGTTATTCTCTCAAAATTCTTTTGTTATTGAAACGGTAAATATGTACTCAATTCAGAATTTCTACGTCTTTTTAAAAGTAACTAATTTTGTTGATATAATTCATGAAATTATATTGAGCAAATAACATCGGTTTTATTTAGTTTAACCGAAATATTTCAGTCAACATATATTTCAATACAAATAGACAGAATTAATTATGAGATTACTTTACAAGATAGTTTACTGAGACCTACATAGAGGTATTTGTACACAGAATTACTTTAGCTGCTCAAATAGGAATTAATGTTAAGATGTTATGAATATGAAAGTAGATCTTCAAACTTTGCTCAGTATGTTAAACATAATTATTTCAAACCGGCTTATTACCGACTGGCTGTTTAATATTAAATTCAGTTAATGAGCAGAGAAATGAACAACAAGCCGACGCTATATATAATTTACTCAAAGCTTATAAGATGGACATAAGTTTACATAAATCTATGCACGGACGATTAATATAAACATAAAAAACCCAACTGTCAACTAGACACACTAATAGTAACGGCCAGGTCGATCATATCATACCTTTCCGTGTCATCTACTTACCAACAATCTCTTTATACGCCAGCTAACTTACTTCAATTGATTGAAAACTGCCTACAGAAAACGCACGGCGTTCTAACGTGTCTGTATATCCCTATAAGATATCAATATAACGCTAATATGCCGACATATATGTCTGTTTGTATGTAGAAATTCGCAGTCACACTCAAGCTCAGATTGACTGTATCAACATAGCAAAATGGCTATGTGTATTTGATGTCATTGTACTTCCTTTACGCTAAGAGATAGTGTGTGTCAATATAACGTAGTTGGAAATACATACAAATAGACCTTATCATATATAATGTGTATGATTTTTCTATGGGATCTATTGACAGTATTAATTACACAAATAAATGACCTTGAAAAGTGTAATTGTCTGGAGTATAAGAGCACAGCAACAAAATTGAAATTGCAAAGCTAAAGTAGATTTAGTAGGTAGTATCAAATACGATCCTCTACGTCTAATATCCAGCTTCACAATTTCACAAAGCCAAGTTATGTTCATAATTACCTAGATCTAAAATACAGCTGTCTCCCGAACTAAATTCCCTTTTTAATTGTGTGCAAGAATTAATTAATGATAATAATATTAAAAGGTAATGGAAGGTTATCTCGCGAGTGCTCTTCTTAAGATGAGTTCAATCAATTACGTAGAATAATGTTCGGGCAACCGGCAGCTGGACCGGCTTTTAGAGTGAATCACTAAGTATTGAATATGTTAATGAAATTCATTGAGAAGTTTCTAAATCGATTTTTTGTTGGGAAACTCGGTATTCTATTCTAGTAATACATTTAAATTTGGAAAATGAATGATAGTGTCTAATTCATTTGTCAATTGTTTCGTGATCTATTTATTGCAATGTCATTTTTAAATTATGATACTTTTAAAATTTTACGTCGATTTCTGTAGCGCTATATATTTAAGAATTCAACGACTATACCTGTTATATAATATACCTGTTATACCTCTATAATACAACGATTAAATATTCACAAAGTATTTCAGTAACCCAAATACTAAGAAACCCAAAAATATTTTATTCGTTTCGTAAACAGAGCAATCTCAATTGTTGTGTTACAAACAATCTCTTTTTCTAAACATAATTGCAAATATTATTTCAACAACATACAATAAACATAATATTTACAAAACCAAATTTGGTCAAACATTGACATTTGGAATATTGAACATTAATGTTTATTGTTTGCAATCAAATTACCTACGCAATTTTCCTACAAAAATATTTTGTATTATCGTATTTACATTACAAATCATAAATCGATCAATGATAATATGAATACTTTATTGTATAGCCAGACTGGTCTGAAAAGATACGTCTAGCTTATTTTACAAAATTTCAATAAATAAATTAATTAAAACCTTATTTTGAAGTCTTTTTACAAAAACCAAATATGTGAATTCAAAAACATATCGCTTTTTTAATCCACTTTATTATTAATAAATGTAATATGACATTAAGCTAGTCATATTAATATAATATTTTAATTTTTAGTATACTTTTAAGTATACCTATTGTAGCATGTAGTCATTCGACCGTAAGTAATGACAACAAAAGAGACTCATCCGAGCACTCTTATTAATTTTATTTCACACTGAGACTTCATTTTTTTTTAAGTTTAAATTTAGAACGATGACTGAACTGAGCTTATTCAAATGTTATATGCCTGTACTTTAAATTAATGTAAACAAATGGTAACTACTTTTAATAAAATTTATTTTTAATTTTAATTTCATTTATTTTTACTCAGAACATTTTGAATAACCATATAGTTCGAACTATAACTTTCAAATGCAAAATAATGTAATAAATGTTCATTTTAAAATGAAATATAATTAAGTCTATGGAGAAGGAACGGCTTTCAAATGTAGGGCAATTAAAACTGGCCAGAGTCCGACGATGTTTGCACCGCATAATCTTTGTTTCTAACTTTGATTAAAGCCTTATTCATAATTCTATATGTAGCACAAGAAAGGTAAAATACGTAGCAGTAATGTTACCAAATATTAAAGTAAATTTTATAAGAATAAAGAAGAAAGAACAATAACATTAAAGGGTATTGGTATATTCTTTTCTTCCTCAATTATTTTATTACTATAGGGCATAAAAACAGGATTAGAGATAACGAAACTCTTATTTTTGAATATGATAATAGATACTGTACAAATATTGATATTGAATTTAATTAGGTAATACTGTAGCTGTTGTGGTAGCATCCATCCAATACGATATCGAAACTAGTTTACAATTTACCACGTACCCTTAACCTGAGCATGCATGAAAGACTGAGGACTGTTGATGCAGCGAAAGAGGTATGTAACAACCATAGCAAATGGCGTTTCATAGTCTAGTCTCTGCCTACTCCCATGAGAGACATGCGTGAGGTAACGTATGTATGAATATGTTGTTAGACAAGTTAACATCCATAATAAAATGTCTTATTTACAAACCATTACTGAATTCCAATGCAATTAAACATAATAACCAAGTCATAACCATATTACCTTACTTTTAACTTGTCCAGTAAGGTTTAAGTTAAAAATAAACGCATTAATGTCGCATATAAGTTTTGTACACAACGTCTGAACTAATCCTGTATCTAAGACGATTACGTACAAAGTTAAGTCGTTGACTTCAATAGTTGCACATAGGGTAGTATAGTTATTGCTGAACTGAAGTCTTTGTTCCCGTAGTGGACTGTTTGCAACTACTTGACTGGCGAACTTCGCTAGTGCTGTTGGCAAGTGCTAATACTAGTATGATAATAATGTTGTGTACGTCAAAAATGGTTGAGACTTTGTTCTATTATGTTGTCATTAGATGATAAGTTCAGCTGCAAACACATTTCATATTGAATGTGAATGGAATGTTTTAAAGTCTAACTGATATTTTCAAACTAGTTTTTTACCAGTAGATATTTATACAAACCTACCATGTTATGGCAAAAACATACGAACGATTTTCTAATGTATAAACATTCTCGTAGGTCAATCAACACACACTAATATATCATTCCCCAAGCTTTCATTTATCGAGTTTCCATTTACGTTCAAGGTCGTCCGATTACTCGAAGGCCGCGTAACAACATTTAGCCATTTTCTTCGTCCGCCATTTTGATTATGCCTACTCGAGCACAGTGGGGCGTTAAGCTCAACACTGGTCCTATATGCGTTTGTCTTGTAACTGTATTGTACAGGACTTTGCACTATTTGCGCACTGTGTAATGCAATGGATTAAAGTTCAGTTGCTCCACTGTGCAGTAGGATTATAGTTCGAATGTAGAATTAGTCTAATGTGAATTTACTTTAATGTTCGTAGTGTGTGTCGTTTCCTTTTACTATGTAGTATATTCTTGAATAGGTAAGGATAAGGGTTCTTAATTACAATGTGAAGTAATAACGATTATGGCCGGTTCACTTAGTAATATTTGGTTCTGTAAATGTTTTTATTTACATATACAAATATAATTTGAATAGTATTTGTATAATGAAGAAACTTACTTCTCACAAAAGTACTTTAGCTCTGCTAAATTCAAAGTTCTATCTAATATAATTAGTGCATGCAAATGGCATAAGCAGCACTAGTGTAGCTGCGTCAGTGCAAACAAGATTTTGCACTTCGTACTAACAGATTTGAATATTTGCAGCGTATGCAGGAATATAGCTTAGATTGTAAAACAAAACTTAGAAATTTTCCGTGGCAGATGTCTATTAATTTTGTTATGTTTTGAGAAAATGGCTGATTTTAAAACTTGGTAGATCTTTTCAAGGAAGTGTTCGTTTTACCATCCACACATTTGAGTGGCTGGGAGAAACGGTAAATTACAAATTATTAAAAAAATAAGTATTAAAGTCAAACAAGTATTGTCTAGAAACTTTTACCTACGACTTACGAGATCTTCAAAATCTCTCGAAAACATCATAACAAATTAAACATCGGTATCACAAATTGACTTACCAACGAAAACCCATAAAATTACGTAAATCACCTACAAATGAGTGGTTTAATAAAAAAACAATAAAATTAATTATTATTTACTGCAGTTTTCCTAACCCTCGTTAGCCTATATCACTTTAGTCACTCATGGGATAGTTAGATACAATTATTATGTCCATTAAATCGTCAGGAAGGCTATATAGCGGTAGGGGGTTAACCCCTACCGGGCCAGACACTTTTAATGGTACTTTTTGCCCCTTATCCGTAGTGTCATGTGAAGTTTCGAGGGAAATAGGTTAAGTTTGTTATTTGTTGTAGGTTAATTTCTTGAGTGTTACTTAAATCAGTGTTGCTTAAATATATTTATGTAATGAGATTGTCATAGATATTGTGATTGATAATAATAAATTGTTTATTAAAGATGTACTGGTTTCGATATTAATCGGCATTGTTATGGAAATTACATCTTTCTCAGATATGATAAATATAAAATGGAATATTACTAATTTTTGACGTGGCTCTCTTTTATTACATAGTATATATCATAAAGTTAAAAACAACTCAATAATACTTGAATTCGGTCACTGAAAACGTAAAGAAAGTGAATTCGTTCTAAAAAGATTAAAAGAAATTTAGAACGAATACATTTCATTAATTTACATATTCGTCAGACTTTGATAACATACAAGAAACACAAAAATAAAATACCTTAAAATGTTATAAAACCGTTTCACTTAAAAATGTTGTAAGTCATACACTGTTTTTGCTGAAAAAGACACCCTATAACAAAGCCCTAAAGTAAAAATTGTATTGTATAATATCCGTAGTCTAATTGTACTGCTAAATATGTATTTGAATGATATTTAATTGGAACAATGTACGTAAAACATTGCTTCGACCGTACCTATCAATTATTTTGAAATTAATGTTAAATTAAACTTACCTGGTCCTTTTTAATTGAAAGCGAGTGTTAATTCTCCATGGTTGAAAAAAAAATGTTATACAAATGATTGTAATCATTAAGATGGCGATGGATGCAGATTTTTCATTATATCATGTAGTAGTATCAGTTCTGTTCATTTCGATAACATAATAATTCAGACACCAAACGTAAAAAATGAACGAAAAAAGTAAAATAAAGAAAAACAACAAAAAAGAAAATAAGAATAAGTAAAATAAAGTTCAACAAAAAATAAAAATGAAAAGAAATCAAATATCAATAAAACTTTTTAAAGAATAATATTAACCAAAATGTAGGTTCATAGTTTCTGCATCCACCGGTATAATTGAAAAGAGTACTCACATTGAGCTGCATCACGATCTTATTGTAGGCTCGATGCCATCGCTGCCGTGGAGTCAACTTCGGCTGTTCAGGCTGCTCCTCTGGTCTCTCCTTCTTCTCACGGAACACATTGTCTTCGGTCTCTGGATACGTGTCATCAGTCTCTTGGAACTGTTCCTGGTCATCAAACTTATCTCTTTCTTCCATGAACGTTTCATTCTTGTCAGTGTATGAAACATCGTCATGGTATTCCTCAACTTGATCGTCATAAGGTTCAGCTTCTTGGAAGCCGTCAGTCTCTTCAGGTACCTCGTGATAGGTCGTGCGCTCGTCTTGGAACGTGACTTTCGATTTATCCGTGAGTGATTCTGTGGAATTGTGTTTGGTTGTAGTTTCTGTGATGTTAATATTGGCACATGAAATAATAACGACTTTATGTTTATAAAACAAACTGAATTTTCATTCCAAAATTTGTGAATTTTAATCGCAAGTTTTGTGTTGAATATAATTATGGTGTAATTAAATCTGAAGTTAAATATTTTATGAATAGGAATGCAATAAAATAATTACCTTCTTGTGTAGTAGGGACAGCAAGTTTCTCTTCTGGGTGAAAAGAACTTTGCGAGGTTCTACGATCAACAATCGACGGCGTTTGACTGTGATAGCTGTCAACTGACGGTTTCCTTATTTGAGCCACAGTTCTAGTCGGAGACGCTTGCTTCTGCAAGCTTGGGCTTGGCGGTACATCCGACAAACGCCTCTCCTCAGGGACTTCTTCGAGAATGGTATCATGAATGTAATCATCATCACGATACCTGTCCAAAGAAGTCCTATCGCGGTCTGTTGATTGATCGTATTCAGTCTTATGATACTCGTCCTCGTAGGCACTTTCGTCGAAACTCGACTGGGTTAAGTCTTCAGGTGCGTCTGGTAACGTCCGAGTTCGGCGCACTGAAGGTCTTTGTATGGACTCCTGTCTTCTGAGAGAGGGAGTTCGCGGTAAAGAAACTGGCGCTGATGACGATATATTCGCGCTAGACGAATGCACTGGTGTAGACATATCGGATGACGGATAGGGCGAGGAGGATAGGACGGATGATGTTACCGGCACGGTACTTGTGAACGGCGTTACGGGAGCTACTGATGAAGTAAACTGGCTTGTTGGAGTTGTTGTCGTAGGAGTAGTATGAGGAGGCTGAGTCACAGCAGGAGCTGCAACTGCTGCTGCAGCTGCACCAAAAAGGCTTCCCAACTTCTTCGCACTACCGGCCATAAATGAACCTAATGTAGCAGCACCAGTTAAAACAGTCGTTTGTAGTTGTTGCGCAGGTTGTTTAGCTTGTTGTTGTTGCTGCTGTTGCTGTTGCTGTTGCAACTGTTGTTGCTGTTGTGTCTTTTTCTGTTGCAACTGCAGTTGTTGCTGCTGCTGTTGTTGTTGTTGCTGCTGTTGCTGTTGCTGTTGCAACTGTTGTTGCTGTTGTGTCTTTTTCTGTTGCAACTGCAGTTGTTGCTGCTGCTGTTGTTGTTGTTGCTGCTGTTGCTGTTGCTGTTGGAAGGGTAATTGATTTGCTTGTTGTTCCGAGTGTTGCAAATACTGTTGATCTTGGTAGTATTGTTGGTCTTGCTCAAATTGTTGCGTATACAGCTGATGGGAAACTGGTTGTTTTTCTTCCTCCGGGTATTGTGACTCAAACTGTGAATCGTACTGGTAATCCTGCTGGTATTGTTGCTTATCATCATATTGCGTTTGTTCTGTATACTGTTGATCTTGTTGATCGTATTGATATTGTAGATTATCGTACTGTGAATCGTATTGTTGATTTTCGTATTGGTAACTTTGCGTTTGGTACGTGTCTTGTTGGCTCGTTACCGGCGGTTGAGGTAAATAAGACGAAACTGTTGATGGCACTGTTTTCGGTAACAATGAATCGCTTTCACTAGTGCTAGGGTACGTGAACTGTGGTATTGTCTCTGTTTCAGTCCAAGGCGTTTTTTGAGCTGGAATATGGAAGAAAACGTTGTAAATATTAAAGTTAAATGTAAAATCACCACACAAATAGTCAATGAAACAGCCCGTCATGTTTACGGTTTAAAAAGAACTGATTTTTATAGCAAATCTAAACGTGTCCACGCTGCGGAAGTTCTTATCTTTTATGTAATTGTATCATTTTTATTATAACAATGAATTCTCGGTTTTACTGTTAACATTGACATAATTTTGATATCGCATTATTCATAATTATAAATAGCTAATTGATATAATACGCTGTTGTTATTTATCCCTCCTTGTCCTTCCAAAATGTTAACATTTTCGAGAAATGTTATAAAATTTATATTTTTAATGGTTAAATGATGGAATGTGTTGATTAATATAATTACCAGCGGCAGGCGGAGTAGCGTGTGGCGTTTCATCGAAGAAAGGTTGCATACCATCCGAATCATATCTGTAACAAAGATTTTAAGTTAGATATTATGAATTTTAAACTACAACACTCAATCAACTCAAGTTTAAGTAATGTATTAGTACGCACATTGATTAATTGTCATACAAGAGCCCTATTTATAAGATGTCACTGTATGTATAGAGTCAGTTTGCATTATACGCCTGCTAAGGAACCACGCCTTTCATTTACCCGAGGACGGACATAATAGTTTACAATAGTAGTATTAAAAGAGTACGCTGGTGACAAACATTATATGTATACTGCTATTCAGTTTTCACAAGGACAGAGTAAGGCAGCACAAATTTTTGTATGATTTCGTTGAAAGTTTTGTTCATAGTCATATCGTAGTCTATTATTCTCACTTTTGTAATAAAATGTCTTGATGCCAGTGTCAATTTTATTTATTAATAAGGCAATCCCAAGTCCATTAACACCTATGTACACTATGTTTGTATTTGTGGTTTTCAAACCAAACAGACTGTAAATGTAGACCTGATTTTTTACAAATTAATGAAACACAAAATGTCCTTTGGGGCGAGATTTCAGATTAACGATTAACCAATTTAAAAACATACATCATATAATCGTGACGCACGTCTCCCATTGAAGAAGGCAGAGACAATAGAACGCTAAATGACAAGATTCTGACATACTTATTTCGCTTCATCTACATTCAGCAATCTTTCCATGCATGTTCAAATATTTTGACTGCACGGTTGGTGCGGTGGCTGGGCGACCGACTGCTGTGCAACGTGTCGCGGGTTCGATTCCCGCACGGAACAACACTTTGTGTGATCCACAAATTGTTGTTCCGGGTCTGGGTGTCATGTGTATGTGAATTTGTATGTTTGTAAACGCACCCACGACACAGGAGAAAATCCTAGTGTGGGGCAACGTTTTTTAAAAAAAAGAAAAAAAAAAAAGAAAAGTATATTGAGGTAGCTTCTAACTTCTTCTAATGGTCGATTGCCTCTTGAGTAAGTGCCGGTATATTAGACAATAGAAAATACATGGCGTCTCGCTTACATCTACGGCATACCACGGGTTAAAGACCTTATACTCAGTATGGTATATTTTTCTTTTAAGGAAAAAAGTATTCATTTTATTACTAAGTACTGTTTAGTTCACGTTGGTGTTTCTACAAATTGTGTTATCATTGTGATTCACATATCGATCTAATTACAATTAGGTCACCATCCATGAGATGTGTTTTCTAGAAATATTAACGTATTTATCTACTTTACAAACAATACCTACTGAATACATGAACATCCTTTTAGTGATGACTTCATGATGGATTTCTAGTGAATGTGATTTAATTTCTCTGTAGCTCTTTTTCAAAGAATGTAAATTCGAAATTTGCCAATTAAGAGACATACGTACATAACTTCACGCCTGTCTCCCATGGGGGTAAGCAGAGACTATGGAACGCCAATTACTACGATTCCTACATACCTCTTTCGGTTCATCAACAGTCATCAATCTTTTCATGCATGCTCGTCGGTTAAGGGTACTTTTAATTTGGCCGTAATATTCACGTGAGTAACTCGCGATTTTTAATTAATTTAGAGAGGTTGATGAAAACGAACATGGGTGTTTTTAGTTAAATACTTAATACGTGTCTATAATAGGGGTAGCCAGAGACTATAAAACGACAATTGCTACAATTCTTACACCCTAAATACATACTAAAAGGCTACTCAATATTAAGTTATACTTAAATATCGTGCCATCTCTTTCATTTTACAAATAATTTGTAGAGACAGAACTTTACTTAAGCGTACTTATAATTGAGTAGTGTTTGAGTATTTCGACATTTCAAACCTCTTTCGCTTCCTCAAACTATCATCAGTCTTTTCATGCATAATCGTCGGTTAAGGGAGTACCCTTAACAGTAGTTAATAATACTTACGTCGTATTATTGTAATTAGTTTCTGGATAGGATGCTGTGGCAGTGTCTTGAAAGTCTTGCTGCTGAAACCCGAAGCTATCATAACCATAACTCGCATCAGGTATAGTTCTTTCAGGTTCTGCAAGATAAAATACACCTTATGAAGAAGTTAATAAAATATATTATACAATGAGTTGTGTTATTTAGGACAGTTTGAGTGTTTAGATGGAAAGAGTGTTAAGTGATGATTGTTGAAAGCATCGAAACTTTAAATAAAGACATAATTATCGGTTACTTGGCATTAGCATTGCATAATACTCTCAATAACTTAGAGTACCCAATAATATTTGTTGATTTTTTAAATATTTTGGCTGATAAATACAATTTAGATAAAAAATAAGTAATCAAATTAAAAATATATATATATCGAAGCTAAAATATTAAGGCACAGTTGCGCCACATCAAAACATCTAACATCAGAGACAGCCTTTCAGTCTTCGGACGTAAATGACGGGCTCTCTAACGCCGTGCGCTGCTTTAGGCGTGCGCACGGCGCGGGCGCCCGCGTGACGTGCGTTTTCATGTAATCTCATAGATCAGCGAGCAACGGGCGACCCGCTGCATGCAGCGCACGGCCTTATACTTTGAATTCAAAATTCAGTCTAATATCAGATTTTAATAGTATTGCCACACTAAAGAAGGAGCATTACATAAGGATTTTAATGTTTAAAATCCGAGTGTGTGTTTCTTACAAAAAAAATCTTCTAATTCGAGACACCAAAAACAATTATTATTGTATAAATATTTAATATATTTGCGTGATTAAAAAGCAGAGCCGTATTATCCCTAAGCCAAACTAGGCAACTGCCTAGGTTTCCAGGTTACAAAGGGATGCCGCAAAAGGCGCGTATCCTATTGCCCATAGAGCGGCGGTGGCGCCGAAAAAATTATGGGCGCATATGAGGTGCTTGTTTATACTGTCAAACACCAAGCGGTCACCGGTGACCGCAACCTATTGTTCTATAATTGTGTCTACAAAACCGGTACTCGACGAGTTAAGGCTCTCTCTAAGTTTAACATAACAATACGCCTTCTATCCACTAAGAGGTAGGCAGAGATGCACATTACGGGACTTAATGCCACTGTACAATGTGACACCCACTTTTCACTATTTATGTTATGAGTCCCATGTAATGGGGGGTGAGCCTATTACCTCTCCTACTCTCTAAGTTTAATCCACCACTATTAAGCTGCTATGGATGGTACTTCATATTATACTATAAGCCAATCTCACCGGGTACGTAAGGCACGTGCGTAAGCGTGGAGGCGGAAGGCGCGCGCCTGGGGCGCGAGAAGCTGCCATATGACGTCATCGATGACGACAAAGGCGTAGGGGGCTGCGGTAGGCGGCGGCCGCGGCTGCCCCGTGTTGACCCCGACTCACTGCCAGGGGGCACCGGTAGCGCACGACCCCGCTTGGGGGTTGATGACGGGGTAGCTGGAATAAATAAAGCACATTGATTCACGGTAAGCTGGCTTGTTAGCTCTTAGCTTTTTCTGCTTGCAGAACTGCAAATCTTCTTCTCCACTCGACTCTGGCAGGTTGGGTAGACAGATTACTGTGTAATTATTCCTCAATTTTCAATAATAAAATTGGTTAAGTCATAGAGTTATTTGTTTTCAACACTCCATGAAGGAGATTATACCAATTGCATAGTCGGTATGTAAACTTCGTAATTTCAAAATATTTTTTTTATTAAAAACTATCTCAACTTACGTCTTTCATGACCCATCGAACAGTCACTACCTTATCCGAAGATTTAAAGGAAGTTTTATTTTACCAGTTTTTTTTCTATAGTTTACATTTTAGACTTTCAAATCTGCCTTGACATTGCATAATACTCATTGCAATAGCTAAATATAGTTCAGCATTTATAGCAAAAACTGTGTTGAACTTTACCAGGAAGACTTGCAGCAGTTCTCCGCGGCCGCGGCCTGTATGGTGCCATCTCATTGTAGTCCGAATACCTCGATGATGGCACCAACTGAAACACAGGATATTTATTTATTTGGTTTGTTAAAGTACACAATACTACAAAATACAGGTACAGGTGTAGGAGAGCCGCGCTTCTAGGCACAAATAAGCCGGCTCCAGTTGAGTACCACAGCCTCATAGAAAACCGACGTGAAACAACGCTTGCGTTGTGTTTCGTCGTGTGAGTGAGGTTACCGGACGCCTAAAAACCCCCCTTCTTAATCTTCCCAATTCCCGAACCCCCAACAATCCTTAACCTCACCCATAGTGTTTGGGTATGCATGGGTGGCGCCGATTGCTTACCATCAGGTGATCCGTCAACTCGTTTACCGGCTTATCGAACAAAAAAACCCAAGGCAAACTTAATGCCAATATTAAAAGATATAATAATATACCCAATTACAGATTTTATATGAAATTCTTATTTATTAATTGGAAATTTGACTGCAAAAAAATGAGGATTTCTTGATCATTATCTGGCTACTCTTAAGCGTCGTTGAGCCTTTTTTATTCCACAAATCCTCAATAGTCTATCATGATATCTAAAAATATATTCTTTTTTAATTAAAGTGTTATTACTATTCTATAATAAAGTGAGATTAAACCATCTGTTATAACCAACACCAAAGATTCTAAGAATGAAATTTTTTTTATGGCATAAGCCGGTAAACGAGCAGACGGATCACCAGATGGTAAGCAATCGGCGTCGC